CTAATAAAAAAAAAGATCTCTAATAGCCATGTATACATAAGGTGTTCTACAAAATACTTCTTTTTGTATTTGTTATGCATTGTCAACTAAAGCAAAGACAGGACAGAAAAGAAATGGAAAAAAAAAAGCCTTACCCTCATGAAATGAAGAAGAGTTACCCATGGCAAAGAGATGTAAATAGGAAAAGCTGGATGAAAGATGTGTGGAAAGTAAAGTAAAGGCATCACTGAAAACAGGGAAAAAGAAAACAAAAGAAGTGAGGAGGAATGGGGCATGGTTCCTCTTAAATAATATACTCTGAAGGCTAGTTTTCCAATGTTTTTTGTAAGGATTGTGGAAAGGAGCAAAGGCATGACCAACAGTAGTAATAGCTGCCATTATATCTACAATCAGCAGTAATGTTGCTGAATAGGACTTGCTCTTGTCAGTACAGATTGCAAAATTGTAATCAGTGCTGTATTATCATCAAGAAATTTAAATGTCAAGTCACAACTCTGCAGAACATGCTAGTGAAATCAAGCCATGTGCTAACATCTACATAAAAATAACTTTTTATATATGCGACTGACAGAACGTTATGCACAGTATTACACATCACCTCAACCCTTCTCAAGCATTTGTGACTTTCTTGATCAGGAAAGTTGACGGAATGTTTTTAAAGGTGTTTTTAAAGTTGTGGGGATTTCTGGCTAGATGACACTGATCCACTGGTGGAATATTACTTTAGAAAATAAATATTAAAATGCCATTTCTGAAACAAGCAATGTTTAACATAGGGGGACCTAGACAGAATACAAGTTTTGAACCTGGATTCCCCAATTCCCTTCTGCTTATTGCTTCTTAACTGTTGATGGAATTACTGATTTTGTTGTTGTTGAACATTTGTCTGTTTTTTGGGAGATGGCATATGGAAGGACCCTGTATCTTCTCCTCTCGTCGTAAAGGTTTTGGTCTCATAATAAAGAAAAGGAACCAACTTAGAAATCTTTTAAAAGTTTTCACAGATTGGAAAACTGCTCTCCATCCAGCTTTAGTATGGTTTGCTTTTATAACCAAAGCCGTCTCTCCAGTGCTTTTGTACATAGAACAAGAGCTTTAGACTGGCTGTAGGACTGAGAAAGCGACAGCCATTGTCCAGGTTAACATCGCTAGTGCAAAAAAGCCAGAAGAGTGCTGTATTATTTATTTTCAGCCCACGATTCACCATCAGTATGTAGCATAAGCATGAAAGAGTGAGGCAACTTGCAACTGACTGCTGCTTTTTCCTCTGTCCTCTCTGAGAGGTCTAAGTGCCCGGGAATGGCACTGGGGCTAACAGAGGACCTTACCCTCATGAAATGAAGAAGAGTTACCCATGGCAAAGAGATGTAAATAGGAAAAGCTGGATGAAAGATGTGTGGAAAGTAAAGTAAAGGCATCACTGAAAACAGGGAAAAAGAAAACAAAAGAAGTGAGGAGGAATGGGGCATGGTTCCTCTTAAATAATATACTCTGAAGGCTAGTTTTCCAATGTTTTTTGTAAGGATTGTGGAAAGGAGCAAAGGCATGACCAACAGTAGTAATAGCTGCCATTATATCTACAATCAGCAGTAATGTTGCTGAATAGGACTTGCTCTTGTCAGTACAGATTGCAAAATTGTAATCAGTGCTGTATTATCATCAAGAAATTTAAATGTCAAGTCACAACTCTGCAGAACATGCTAGTGAAATCAAGCCATGTGCTAACATCTACATAAAAATAACTTTTTATATATGCGACTGACAGAACGTTATGCACAGTATTACACATCACCTCAACCCTTCTCAAGCATTTGTGACTTTCTTGATCAGGAAAGTTGACGGAATGTTTTTAAAGGTGTTTTTAAAGTTGTGGGGATTTCTGGCTAGATGACACTGATCCACTGGTGGAATATTACTTTAGAAAATAAATATTAAAATGCCATTTCTGAAACAAGCAATGTTTAACATAGGGGGACCTAGACAGAATACAAGTTTTGAACCTGGATTCCCCAATTCCCTTCTGCTTATTGCTTCTTAACTGTTGATGGAATTACTGATTTTGTTGTTGTTGAACATTTGTCTGTTTTTTGGGAGATGGCATATGGAAGGACCCTGTATCTTCTCCTCTCGTCGTAAAGGTTTTGGTCTCATAATAAAGAAAAGGAACCAACTTAGAAATCTTTTAAAAGTTTTCACAGATTGGAAAACTGCTCTCCATCCAGCTTTAGTATGGTTTGCTTTTATAACCAAAGCCGTCTCTCCAGTGCTTTTGTACATAGAACAAGAGCTTTAGACTGGCTGTAGGACTGAGAAAGCGACAGCCATTGTCCAGGTTAACATCGCTAGTGCAAAAAAGCCAGAAGAGTGCTGTATTATTTATTTTCAGCCCACGATTCACCATCAGTATGTAGCATAAGCATGAAAGAGTGAGGCAACTTGCAACTGACTGCTGCTTTTTCCTCTGTCCTCTCTGAGAGGTCTAAGTGCCCGGGAATGGCACTGGGGCTAACAGAGGAATAAAGAGGATCCCAGTCCAGAGTGATCATACACCCGAGCTGCTGCAAAGGCCATTTAACTTCCATTTTCTTCCAAGGCTACTGCTGAGCCCCACCTTGTCTGTCACATAGGTCCACTCTTGTTCATTATGTAAATTTGGATTACTGAAAAGACATCAAATGGTAGATTTAATCAGATCCATTTTGACTAGAAGGATGAACCTTGGAGAAGCTGAGGCTGCCCTCCCCACAGAGTACTGACCCTGGGGCAACACAGGTAACACATATCACAGCTAAATATGATCTGGACTCATACTGCCCAATCCACCATTGTTCTGGAATACACTGGACAACTCCACTCACTCATCCATCATTTTTACTAATAACTCATTTAGCCACAAGATTTCTCAAACCCATTGTTCTCTTTGTAAATCAATAAAAAAATCTAACACATTTATCATAAATCTTTCCAATTACACTGCCCCATAAACTGTCCTGAACTCCAAACCTCTCCTCATAGCAAAAGACATTAATCCACTGTGAACTGTTTTGGCTTATTAAGCTTTAATTTATTGCTCTATCCTCTCTTAAAAGGCTGCTGAACAATAAAAGGCTCTTTAACAATATTTCACATGAGCTGTCAAAAACCACCTGAAAATTTATAACAGTTAAGATCTTTGGGTCCACTTTCATTCCAAAATCATGATTTATTTCTTTTTTTTTTTTTATAAGTTGTCTAACAGGCTAGAATGACATGATTTGCCCTTGTAAATACCATTCTGGTTTGACCCTATCAAGTTATACTTATCTAAGTATTCACACTATTTTATCCTTGGTCTCAGTAGGTTCCCCTTGTTAGTGGTAACAGGAGGTCATCAGCTAAACACTTTGCAACATGTGTATGGTTTGGTTTATGGACTCTTGTTGGGTCCTATTAACCATTAACAAAAAACAAACCAACAACCCAAACCAAAAAAAAACCCCACCTAAGCCTAAGTTCTGCAAACGAACAATTATTATTACAAATCAAATAGGTTGTTAAAAAAAAGACCCCAAGCCCAGAAAAAATACATAACAATCTAAGCTTTTATCCTGATAGTGATTCCAAGGAAACTAGCACAAGGATTAAAAACGTTTACCTCCATCACACCACTGTATGCTATTTGCAGTCATAGTTTTCTCTTTTAAGTGAGCAAAGATTTACTTGTTTTGAAGCAAATTTGTAAACATGGCTAACAAACACTTAATGGTAGAATTTGACTGCATTTCAATACCATTCCTTATTATTAATCTGTAGAATTAAAACGTTCATGCAATTTATCACAAGCTTCTAGCTTTCCATGTTTATCCCAAATGAAAATCTGGGACAAACATACTACTTGCTTCTCCAGAAGAATGTTACTATCATAAACCATAGCAACAGCAGAAGGTTAAAAAAAAGCAGACATGTGGATGCTGAAAAGCTTGTAAACCTATGTGAAATAAATTTAGCATTTTATTGTTACATTGCAATTAAAATCCATTTGTAACTTAAAGCTCTGCTTTCAAGTCTGAAGAAAAGGCAGGTTTGGCTGTTGAAAGTATACTATTTTACAGAAATGTTTCACTAATAAAGCAGTCTGGGTAGAAACCACCACACCAAAATAACATTTAACGCTGCCAGCGAAAGGTAGTAATGCTTACACATTCAGGGTACCCTGGTTCTGCCTTTTATAAAAACAGGTCTCTCACGGCACAGCTGCGACTGCGGAGGAGAGCGACGGCAGCAGCTGTCACTGGCGTAGTTCTAAGTAGAGGTAGAAGATGGCTGTCGCGGCTTTTGCTTACGGCCCTGGGACAAGAGTCAGAGCACCTTGCTTTCCAAGCGCCACTTACTGCAGCACCCACCCCGGCAAACATCTCTCCTGCACTGCCAACTTGAGAAGGAAGGAGGGTGACAGAAGACAGAAAAATAACTTACCATTACTCCTTTCCAGGTGATTTCCCGATTAAACTGTTTGTGTTGCAGGAACACAATTTATTATTTCCAAGAGAAATTTAGACTGCTTTTAATTGGTGTTTGCAGCAAAATTTATTCAAATTGGCCTCAATCGGGTCTCTAGTCTTTTGTATTGGAAACTGTAAAGATTACTAACTGCACCAAGCCCACAATCTTTTGCAGCATTAAAAATATGGCAGCACTAATATTACATCTGTTAAATAAGTATGACTTATTATCACTGGCCTTCTCACTTGTTTCAGACTTTCAAAGAGAAATAAGAAAAGCCCTAGCTCACCATTCCATATTTCCTTTTAAAATTTATTTTTTTAATAGAAAACCCCAACAAAACTTTTTTAAGTAAAGCAGAAATGATCCTTCAATCCTGCAGTTAAAATTTGATATAAATGCACTCACATTCATTGCCAAATCCTCAATCTGCCTTTTGGATCACAACAAAGTCACTAAAAAGCAGAGATTTACACTATACATTTCTTAGGGAAACTATAAAAAGCACTATAACTTACCGATGTCGTTGCTTCTTTCAGAGGAGTCTTTCTCTAGAGTGCCGGGTACTGTACTGCCCACTAATTCCACTTTCGGACTATCACTCCTACATTTGGATCAAGAAGAGGAGATATTTTATTGGAGTTTTTGTGTGGGTTACAGTAAATTGATAGTTAACTTGCAATTAATAATGAGAGAGGAAAATATTCTTCCTTTGTAGCACCAGAGTAATAGCAATATGTCAGAGAGAGCAATCTCCAGTAAGCAGACATGCTGTATGGATTAACCTTATCTCGTTTCTCCTTAACACCTGTCAAAAAAGCCTATTTTAGACACTGTAGTGTCCTGAATAATTCTTCAGATGTTCACAGCATCTCAACACGAAGGAAATATAAGGGCAAAGGGACATCCTTCAGCATCTTATTTGTGACTGTTTCTAATTAATTGGCTTCCATAAACTATACCGATGGGTGATCTAGAATACTGCAGAAAGGGAGAGAACCTCCAGTTAGCATTGTGCCTTTCAGTGGTTCCTAGTATTTACTCATAAATGCAGCTCTTCCACCTAAAGAAGATCTTTATTTATTTATGCATGCTGCTTATGAGATTAAGCTATAAATATTGCTTCTGCAGGTCCAAAGAAACAATATCACCTAGTCTGTCTGAAAATGTCTTTGGAATAGGCAAGTGTCAAGAGTTGTGATACTTTATACAGAGGAACTATTTTTAAACCAAACAGGAGCTCCAACATAAGCAACATGATTATTCTTTCTTCGTAGAACTTTATATCCCACAACTACTTAAGTTTACTAAAATAATCTGACTATTGAAACAATTACTTAAAAACGAGCCAGTGGGAGGCGAGTAGCTTGGCATTGCACAAGTCACACAGACAAATCCCTGTGACATTTACTGTGCTAATAACTGTTCAATTAATGCAATAATTACCATGATTACCAGGTCAACTAACAAATATCACCGTTTTTCCACAATCACTATTCTCAGTGTAGCACTGTAACGTTTATGATATACACAAGGTACCCAAATTATGGATAAAAATATAGATCTGTCCATGAAACAACCCAGGCAGATGTGCATTTCTATGAACAGCAGTAATTAGCCACTGACAGAAAATACATAGCGAGCTCCTGTGTCTCGTTGATTTTTTCATTTGTCTCTGCTTTTGATGCCATAAGCCGATGACAGATGGCCTGAACCTCAACTCATGGCAGCAGTTTATGAGCAAAACACAAAGCGACTGGAAACCCTATTTCAGACTTCAGGAAGGCTGTGATATAGAGCCTGAAAATTTGTGTTAAAAAACAGAGGAAGCCACAGATTAGGTGAACAAACATCCAGTTAAACACTGTGGTAGGGTGACAAGTAGCCTATGAAAGATAGACAACCAGTTTATGACCTGAAAAACAAACTAGTCCTACACAGCTATCAATATGGCAGGCAGTCTGCACCATGAAGGAAACAGAAGAAATTTAACACGTTCCTAGAAAAATATATTAATTGGTGAGATGATTAATAAGGGCATTCTCCCAGTGATCTACCTAATCCATTTGTTTTCTTATCTTTTGGTCTTTAACTTTCTTTTAAAAATTTGTTATATATTTGTAAATCTATAAGAAACAACATAGGTTCTTGGCTGACAGGGCACTGAGCATCTGACTGTGTACTCTGTTTTGCACACATATATTTTCCAGAAAACTGAGAGCACCATGTGAGTTGGAAGCACTCTAGGAAATGTGCAAGTACGGTTTTGGAGGAGATTCTTAGGATGGTGCGATTTAGGACTGAAAGTCACGACATTTACCATTTGACTATAAAAGGTACCAAGATATATGACATCGACCTCACAAAAAACCCCAACTCTATGGTCAAAAGAACCAACAGGCTTATTATGCCAATCTACATCCATACTATTGTGAAAGGAGTGGAGGCATGCCTTCTTGGTCACAGTACTCCCTCCGCTCATGCCCATGCAGATAGGCTCTCAGCTTGATCAGACAAATTATCAGCCTGAAAGAAACCCCACACTAATAGAAATCCCCCTGCAAACTGATTAATTGCCATCTGGAGCAACTCCCTGACCCATATGGCTGAACGGCTGCACAAATGCTGGTGCTAACATAAGGGAGGCTGTGGGAATGGGCTGCCAGGAGAGGGAACCTGCCCCTGTTAGCAGCAGCATGGACACAGATTGGTTTAGACCGATCGTAAAATTGCACTTTCTGTAGGTCTTTATGGCTTGCCTACTCCAGAGAATTGACTCATCGGTAAATGGTATAATCACAGGTATGTCTAAATAAGCTGTGAAGCCTTTGGAGCAAATTGACAGCTATTCTCAGGCCCACATCGTTTTTGTCTCTCCTGTTGCCCTTGAAGCCCTAACCTGCCTCCCAGGAAGGAGGAGTATATTTAAATGGAAAACAGTCATCACCACAAAAAGTCAGTGAGATGCATAAAATGCAAGCCACTTACTCAGAGCAGAAAAAAACCCTCTTCTGCTCAGCAGCTGCCACAGAAATCTCATGACAGTTACTTTATAACTACAGCAATTTTTCCCCCTAGGATCACATACTGGTTTTGGCTGGGATAGAGTT